CAATTTGTATTAAAATTCATAGTTGCAACGACATAAGATGTCAGAAATGAAATTGTAATTACAAGGAAGCTTGGTCGGGGCCGGGCCGCGGGGACATAGAGACCCGGAATCAACAACAGGCAGGTAGACCACCATAACACATGTTATTCAGTCTTCCCCCCGAAAATTTGCAATAAAGAATTGTCACTTTTCTAGGGAAGCGGTTGTCTCCTGTTGTATTTTCATTAATCGAGCATTCGTAATGGGGAAGAGGGTCGTTGGATCAGCAGAAAATTTTGAATAAGAATGTAATAGGCAGTGTGGGAGAGATATTAGAGGCTTGTCTATTGTGTGGTTGTGTATGTTGGTGCTGCTTTGTTATGATGTGTGTGGAAATGTGTTAGTACTGTTAGTTGGTTAGTGGCGGTTGTTGATGGTGGTGCATGAGACAGCCTCATGCACCTCACCCTTGTCCTCTTAGAAAGACAAAGGCAAGCCGCTAACAAGCCGATGTTAGCGATGGCAGCAAACACTGTTCGGGCTAGAGGAAGGGATGACTCCCTTGTCTCCGCTAGAGGAACTAGGGAGGAGGCAACGTCTTGTTGATGCTATATATCTCTCTCTCCTCAGGCGGGGTAACGACGATGAGAGTGGCGGCTGTGATGATGCTGCTGGTGGCGGCGGCGGGGGTGATGGGGCAGGAGGCCGACGTCCCGGTGGTGAACACAGAACAAGGCAGGATCTCTGGCCAGAAGGAACAGTCTCTCAAGGGAGCCACCTTCTACTCCTACAAGTCCATCCCTTTTGCCCAGCCTCCTGTTGGAGCCTTGAGACTGAAGGTGAGGCACCTGAGGTTATGGTCACCTCATCAGTAAGTGCAACTGATCATATCTGGACTAATGTTATCAATGATGTGTCAACAGGTATTATTTTATCTATCATTTATTTTCCTCTCCGTGCTCTAAGTCTTGGATACTATTTTTAACCTGAAAAATAACATCAAAGCAGGCTAAAAGTCGGAAAATAATTTGTCCTCTTGTTAGTGAAGTCAACTGAGAAGCAATGATGTCTTCTTCAGACGTCGATGAAGCTCTTGCTATTATTTGACTACAGAGAGTTTTTACAAAATATTTTCCCACAAGTTTTGTATTTAGTGCAATAACAAAATAGAGAATGATAGCTTTTTAGAAAGTACTTCGGCCCATCACTTATAGGCCCTTCATCTTTAGAGTACAATACAGAATGAAGAGAAACAGTATTAACAAAATAGTAAAGGAACTAGACTACTACATACAAAATAGAACAAGCCTCTCGAGATAATAAAACAACTCTGAAAGTAATGAAGCTCTTAAAAGGATTCACTGTACTGCTCCAAGGTCAGATCCCAATATGAGTGTGACAATATAGTGAGGGAACTCTTGCCCTACACACCGCTCCCTACCAACCTGTTTTTTCTCTTTCTCAGCCACCCGTGGAGGCCCCTAGCTGGGATGGGGTGCGTGACGGCTCGGTCGACCCCCCCAGTTGCATTCAGGTGCCCATCTTCTCATTGTTTGGCGGCAAGAATGATCTGATTGGCTCGGAAGACTGCCTCTACCTGAATGTGTTCACACCCTCGGTGAGTCCCCAGTCCAGTCACAGTAACCGTGGTCGGCCCTGTGTCTGGCGGCTGGCTGTTTGTTGATAGTAATGTGTGTGTACGTGTAATCTGTCACGTATAATACCAGCAGTACTAGGCTGCACCCACGGTCTCTACCCCTTTCCACACACATTCCCCTCTTATCTCTCCTATCGCGCGCGTGTGTGTACTCACCTAGTTGTATTTGCGGGGGTTGAGCTTAGGCTCTTTGGTCCCGCCTCTCAACTGTCAATCAACTGGTGTACAGATTCCTAAGCCTACTGGGCTCTATCATATCTATATTTGAAACTGTATATGGAGTCAGCCTCCACCACATCACTTCCTAATGCATTCCATTTACTAACTACTCTGACACTGAAAAAGTTCTTTCTAATGTCTCTGTGGCTCATTTGGGTACTCAGCTTCCACCTGTGTCTCCTTGTGCGTGTACCACCCGTGTTAAATAATCCATCCTTGCATACCCTGTCAATTCCCCTGATAATTTTGTATGTGGTGATCATGTCTCCCCGAGCTCTTATGTCTATTCTGTCTTCTGTGTGTGTGTGTGTGCCAATTTTAAATATATTTTGATCGCATATATTTCTCTCTAACCTATTTTCTTGTGTTGTAGGAGCCGGGCAGCAGCAGGAGAGACCTGCCAGTGATGGTGTTCATCCATGGCGGCGCTTTCTACTGTGGCAGCGCCGGCGAGTACCCTCCCTACGTGTTCCTCAACCATGACGTGGTACTGGTGGTGCTACAGTACCGTCTGGGGATGCTAGGTGAGCCGCGCTGGAGCCAGGGCAGGGCAGGAGGCTTCTAGAACATGGGAAAAGATAATAATCGGGTCAAACAGCATCAGCAGTTAGGGAGGAATGTTCGTAGACATTACCTCGCATGAGGCAGTCACGCCTCTCAAGTGGAGAAAGAACACAGCCGTCACGCACTCGCTGACTCGTACCTGACATTCGCACACCATCACTCGTGGCCCCAACGTGTGCTCACACTCCGCCGATGTAGCCACACAAAAGATCCGACATGACAGTAGCGCCACCACTAAAATAACACGAAACCTTGTAGTCTACGAGACCACCACTCCAAGCCGAGACTGACACCAACACATGCACAACGGCCCACAATATAACATGGCGCGCAAACACTACGGCGCCGTGTTACATTTAATAATCATACACTAATTTATATTTTAATAAACTTCAAAATCAAGGGCATCCTTTCACAGCTCAAATGTAGCAATGGTGTTACTATATGATGCGTGTAAATGTTTGTGTGTGCAAGTTTACTATAATTAAAGTTAATTTGTTAAAACAAGAACACTGTGATTGTTCACGGGCGATGAACTTCCGCCCTCTAGCACCTGACTTATCTCTAATGTATCTGGCACTATGCGCCAGGTTTCCTGTCCACGGAGGACGACGTCATCCCTGGTAACTTCGGGTTACTGGATCAATCCCTGGCGCTGCGCTGGGTGCAGAGCAACATCCACCATTTCGGTGGCGACCCACAAAAGGTCACTATCTTCGGGGAGAGTGCCGGCGCCGCTTCCGTCAACTACCACATGTTGTCACCCAAGTCCCAAGGTCAGTGGCGGCGCGTGACAGCTCTGAGAGAGAGAGAGAGATATATATAGATAGATAGATAGATAGATACACATGTGGCTTTATTGCACTACCCTCTGCTTAAAATCATATACCTTCAGTGCATATTCTTGCAGGCCTCTTCTCGCAAGCCATCATGCAGTCGGGGTCGGCCCTGAGCCCGTGGTCGTACGGGTGGTCGTACAGAAAGGTGGCCCACCACGCGGGTCGTGCCCTGGGCTGCGCGGACACCAAACACAGCCAAGACCTTCTCACCTGTCTTCAGGGGGCCGACGCTCACAAATTAACTTCAATTCTGATTGACCATTTCGTAAGTCATTATGATGTGTGTGTTTGATTGTGTGAGGCCCCCCTCCCCCCCCCCCCGACACTAACTGGGTGAACGTCTGAGGCAGAGGACCGAAATCTTCACTACTCTCAACCTTTACCTGTGCAACACCTTCCCTTCTTCTCTCGGTGCCAGACAACTCCACTCTCCTCACTTTTCTGGAGACTACGTGTATTACCGAGGACTTGTGGGTAACGCTCACGTCCCAGTTCACTCCCCCCATTATAGACGTCTCGCAGCTACTGACTCTGGTCATCATATTGTCTGGGTCACCTGCTCTGTGGGCCCTCCGGTATTACTTCTGTCCTTTAGGCATCAGGAAATGTTTCTCTGGCTTGTTGACGTGACTGATCCCTCAGCCTGGGCCACGTGCCTATGGCCCAGTGTAATCACCTTGCTATTCAAGATATCGTTCGTTTACATGTATCAGCAATCTTTATTCAGTCTCGTCATACCTTTCGCTGCTCTTCGGTAGGTCTTGTACTAACATCCACAATAAATCATGGGTCGCAACACCCTCATTCCCTTTTTCATTAATTTTTTACTATGAACCCCCCATTAAACATCTCATAATCCCTGGCTTGTTGCTCTCCATTCTTATAATCCTGATTCTAACTTTCCCCCCCCTGGCTCCACAGGATTATCTTAGCGGACCTCTGATACTGGCGCCGCGGGTGGATGGGGACTTCTTGCCGGCGCAGCCAGCGCTGCTGCTGAAGGAGGGCAAGCAGAGCAGGGTGCCTGTCATCACTGGCATCACGTCACACGAGGGGGCCCTGTACGGCGCACGTGAGCACCCCCCTCCCACACATATACGTACACACATACGTACACACACACAGTGAGAGGTAGTAGCCAACCCGGTTACCAGACCAAAGCATTACAGGGTTTATAATATCTTCCACTCAGGTTACGGCAACATAGCGCAGAACAGATTATATCTAGGGGTCACCTAGAGTGGTGATGCTCAAAATCTAAATTAGGTGGCATAGCTAATTTGAACAAAGAGCGTGATGTTGCTGCAAGATGCAGGTGTGGGAGAGAGGGCGTGCACAGAGGCTCAGGTACCGGAGAGGAGGCCACTGGAGCCTGAGGATGCTCAGGTGAAGTGACCACAATGATATGAGGCTCCGCAACAACGGTGGATGTGGTGGAAGGTTTGGAAACGGTAGTTTTTTGGGAGGAAGAAGAGGGTTAAATGTTCCTATTTTGGTTGAAAAATGGAGGTGTAGGGTGAAGAAGGTTTGAAACTTGGATGTAGTTTTGCGACGTCTAAGAGTTTAAGATGGAGAGGAACCTTCTTGGTGGTAAGTATGATAGTTGCAATGACGGCGACAGGTAGATTGCTTTTCAAGAGAATGAGTTTTATAAAGCTGGAGAACTTTTTACGGTACCAGTTAAATATAAATTAAATATAAAGTAATTTAATATTTTGTGGAAATATATTGTTTTCGATTCGTTCGTCTATAACCTAAAAAATCTATGACATTGTCTAAGATTGACTTGTTCTTCAGAAATCTACGGGAACAAGTCACTTCGTTCTGAACTGAAAGACAATTTCGCCACGGCCGGGTTGTCCTTCTTGGAGATCAGTCCAGACGACGAGACCCCGCTTGACCTGGCCACCAGGATCTTCCATCACTACCTGGGCGGCGTCAACCTGGAGGAGGAGAACGCCGACCAGGTCGTCCAGGTCAGTTGTGGAGGCAAGTCGACTGACTACTTGTGACAAATTGAAACTTCCCTAGTAAGAGGAGACTTGAGATTAAATATAGGCTATTTTTATAACCTATTTTTATACACTTTAGTTCTGTCTATAGACTATCTTTTGTTGCCACTGGTTAAGGTGCAAAACTTTCTCCTAAAAGTGTTTCTTATGGTATATAATGTTTTGGGAGAGAAAGCTTGTTAAACTTTTCAAGGTTTCCTTGCTAAGGAGGCCTGGTCGAGAACCGGGCCGCGGGGACTATAAGCCCCGAAACCATCTCAAGATAAGGGCGAGGCTGCCGGGGTGGTCACTCATCCTGGTAAATAGCATTATTATATATAATACTCCCTCATTCCATTCTTATGCAGGTCTCTTAGATGAATTCACTGTTTAATAGTAAACCCCTGTAGTCTCACTTAATTTATATGTATATGTATATATGTATACATATATAGATATGACAGTGTCAGACCACGGAGGAAAATTGAAACAGGAATTTCCTTAAGTACTTTCGTATATTAATACATCTTCAGAAGGCGTGGCTTTACAGGTCGAGTACTGGACACTGTCACATTTTTAATCACGTGTTTATTTTTCGTGATTTACACACATATATAGATATATGGAAAAACCACAAAGAAATGGGAAAGAGAGGTGAACGTTTCGGTCAGTCTGGTGTTGACAAAGGCTCTAACAGGCCGACACGTTCACCTCTCTTTCCCATTTCTTTGTGGTTTTTCCGCATACAAATGATCAGTGTTTAGTGATCGTCAATTGCATATATAGATATATATAGATATATAAAGCACCAGCACCACACACCATACCAGCAATGATGCCCTCCGCCTTGTTGCAGATGCTCAGTGACCGAGGCTTCGTTGTTGGACACGAGTGGGTGACGAGACTCCATTCCAAGGTGGCCGCCACCTACACCTACGAGCTTACCTACAGCGGCCAGCTCAGTCTTACTAACTTGTTCCCGGGGTTCACTTTGGATAAGAAATGTAAGTTCAATTGCAAATATTCATGTTGGTCAAGACTTGCCATCTATAGGGTTTCAGTAGGCCGGAAGCGGTTGTTGTGACAACCTCTGGCGACAATACCTTAAAGCTTGTGTGTGTGAGTATTCTGACCTTGACCTGGCAGGTTACGCAAGAATAAATGTCTAGATATATATGTTTAGGCTATAAGGAGAAACACTGTTAATATATCCATGCATGATGTGTTAGGATCAAAATATACCTACCAATTTTGCATTAAAATTTCCTGTAATTCGAAAGCTATCTAAACATGCATTATTATTTTTAAAAGAATTAATTAGGTCAAATTTTACAACGTAAAAAATGCAAGAATACAAAGTTGCGTAAAACTTGGTTGGCTTGCTGGTGGCGAGGCGTCAGTACCCTTCAGTTGACATGACTAGTGAAGCCTCGTACCCCTTCCCCAGGGGTGAGTCACGCCGACGACCTCATCTACATGTTCCACGGTGGTCCACTGTTCACCATCTTACCCATCTCCACCCCGGAAGACCAGCGCGTGCGCGACATCTTCACCCAACTCTGGGTGAATTTCGCTGCTACAGGGTAAGACACTAGGCTCTGATAAAGGGTTAGGCACCTAAATTGTCACTGGGTAATATACTGCGGTCTACCACGGGGGCTTGACACCCGAAGCGGTTGCATGAGCAAGACGCAGGTGTGTGTGTGAATTATGTGATGACCTCCGTTTATTATAATCTTTATTGTCCAGGTCGCCTACACCTGATGCCTCTCTCGGCTTCACATGGTCTCCTGCTACATGCTCCACCCCTAACCACCTCAACATCAACCTCACGCCCTCAATGGTCGAGAATTCCCGCAAGGAGGTGAGTTTCCCTCGCCCTGACTTAATAATACAAATCGGTTACACTTATGAAAGTTGAAAATCACACAATAAACAAAACATGCTTAAGGTTAACAATGCTCCCTCGTATGGGTCAATAGGCCTTCGGAAATTTCCTTTAATCTTGTGTTCTTAATGTTTAGATGTGTGTCCGTGTGCGCTCGCCTACCTGTCCCTGTGGAGGGATGAGCTGCGACTGTAAGGTCCTGTCTCAACCCTTAATCGAACGTTGTATGATTTCAGAGCTCTGGAATATCTACATTTAAACCTGTGAATGGAGTTTGCCTCCACCACTTGACTCCTCAACGCATTCTATTTGTTCACTGTTGACACTGGAAAAATATATTTAAAATTTATGTGGCCCCATTTGGGTACTAACGTTACACCTGTGTGTCAGTTCGCGTACCACCGACGCCAGATAATAACACACCATATACACTCCCACACACCCCTCTGTCCCTCTCAGCCTCACCAGTTATCCTCACCATCCAACAGATGATGGAGTTCTGGGCAACACTGCCCACCAAGGAGAACCTCATACTCGACCCAGAGCGAGTGGTGTTCACAGAGGCGTCAGAGAACGAGATAAAACAGCAAGAAAGAGAGGAGCTGTAGGCAAGGACAAGAGAACCATCTATAGGAAGACTCAAGACCCAAGAGTTCCCTTAAAAGAGGAGCTGTTTGTCAAGTGTGATCTCGAAGAGTGAAATTGAACTTAAAATTGAGTACTCTTTATGTATATATATAAAGTACATTGATGTAATTATTGTAGGCTTTATCAACATAGCCTAACCTTATAAGACAAATTATCAAATAAAATTAACGCCAAGCCTTTGGGCTACAGTACAAGTACGTCAGGCAACTATGCTGCAGATGTGTTCAGAATGGTAATAACTTATTAAGAACGTCTGTTCAATAAACCTAACATAAGCCGTAGTATTATACAATTTTGTGCTATGAAACCTCATATCGTATTTGTTTTGCTTCAAATATTTTTACATCAATTTCATGGCTTAAAACTTTTTTTTCATTAAATAATATACAATATAAAGATCATATTTACATCAATTCACTTGATCATGAGGCCCAGAGTCTAATTTCAGCAATGTCCAATTGATATCTATTACAATTTTTAAGGATTTAAGCCTTCATTTTGCAGAATTAAATGGCATCTGTCTCTCATTCGTCTATTTTAAAGTCTGTGAAGCGATTCTGAATCATCTCAATTAATTTTCCACCCTAATTTGAATTTAGTGTTATTGAAAAATTGGCTAATGTAGATGTTAAATTCTGTACACACACACACACACACACACACACACATATATATATATATATATATATATATATATATATATATATATATATATATATATATATATATATATATATATATATATATATATAAACCTGTGGGATACCCGGCTGCGCTCGGGTCTCTCTTCCTTCCTGTTTATCCCTATCCTCCCTCTCTCTCTCTCTCTTCTTCCCTCTCCCCCAAACATCCATCATCTCTTCTCTCTCTAAGAAAATGTAATACTCTAATCTTTTGATTTGATTTTGAACCAAAGTGAATGACGCAGGAGTAAGCATCAAAACTCTACGGGAAACACAACCCCTGTTTTTATTTCGGAGCGTGAAAACCGCAAGGGTCACTATAAATGCCAATATTTCTCCATGTGGTACTGGAGTCGACCGCCGTCTGGTCTATGACACTCCCGTTACTGATACGATTCATCTTGCTGTGTTGAGTGAGGTTAGCCCCAAGCGGCTGGCCTCCAACTTCGGACAGACACACAGACATTTTTATAGATTTTGGGCGGAGTCTTTCTTCTAGACACATGTTATCGAATGTGACTGGAAGGGTTATCTTGAGATGATTTCTGGGCTAAGCGTCCCCACGGCCCGGTCCTCGACCAGGCCTCGTTTTTTGTTACACCCCCCCCAGGAAGCAGCTAACTCCCAGGTACCTATTTACTGCTAGGTAACAGGGGGGGGGGGGCATCAAGGTAACTGAAACTCTGCTCATTTGTTTCCGCCTCCACTGGGGATCGAACCCGGAACCTCAGGACTAAGAATCCGAAGCGCTGTCAGACCCCCTACAGGTTACAACAAAGATTCTACCATGAATCTTCTCTATTTCTTATGTTTTTCACTGCGAAAGGAAATTGGAAAATTCTCTCTCCAAGTTCATTTTGTAATTATATGCTTAGCCTGATGCTAAGAGATGTGTTTAGTTGAGCGTGTCAACATCTTAGGAGGCAGTGGGAAGTATCCAAGTTAGCCGGGGAATAGAATATATAACCAAGAAGGCTGGGGTGAAGTTAGGTGTTACCCAGTCAATGATGGCTGGGGGCAGGGAGAGCTGGATATTGTGTGTTTGTCTTGAGAATGGTTGAATGAACCAAAGTATGATCTGGCTGTGGATAACAGGATGACACTGTTTGATATGTAGTACTTCCCCGATGTCTAATCTTCTATTATTGTTATAGTTGTAGATTATTTTAGTGTTGGTGGTCAGGATATCTCTAATGATCTGGCTGTATGTAGAAATTATTATGTGTTTTGATTGTCTTATTGTTTGTACATTGCCAGGTGCCTTGAAAATTTTTTGTCGTTCTTGGATATTAAAATCGTTGGGACTGATAGCCCCTAAGTGTGATTGTAACTATAGTATTAAATTCTATTAAAATAGATTACGAAACAAGGATATGAAAAAATCACACGTAGCCTGTTTTATAATAAAGTTCATACAAACACATCAATAAAACAAACAATATTTAATAATACTTAACAACCTGCGTAAATAATTAACATAGTAACGTATGAATGTAAAAAAATGCAACGGAAGTCTGAATACAAGTATTCAAACGCTTTTGTCAACACAAAAGAAAACTGTAAAGATGTGTTGACCAGACCACACACACTAGAAGGTGAAGGGACGACGACGACGTCTTTGCTCCTCAGCTCACTCTTGCCTATTTATTGCCTGTCTTTACTTCCTCATCACAATCGACTTGAGAATGGTCCAGGACGGACCGAAACGTCGTCGTCCCTTCACCTTCTAGTGTGTGATCTGATCAACATACTTTAGCCACGTTATTGTGACTCATCGCCTGTAAAGATGTACTTGATGGTGGTTCGGGCAGTGTGACGGAGTCAGCAGGAGTGGGTAAGTTGAGTGAGAGGGCGATACGAAAGGGGAGTGAGAGGGCAAGACAAAATAGGAGTGAAAGGGCAACAAGAAGACGTGAGGAGACGCCAGCAGCTCAGCTCTCGTCGACAGTGCCTGCCATACTCTCCGAGCGGAAGGCCTCAACCTGAGCCTGACTGTCGCCTCTCATCAGCCTCCGGAGGTCAGGCTGCGGAAGGAAACTCCACGTGACCACAAATTGAATAAATAAAAAGTCAAATAACTTGCTTACTAAGTAAATATATCAAATGTAAGAACGTAAGATAAGCAGCAAGCCTAATCTGATATCATTCATCACTTTGCAAAACGGGAGAATTTGTTCTGGTTTGATGTAGGTGAAGGACAACATAATGATGCGACCAAGTGTAAACTGAAAACACAGATGAGCCACAAATGTAAACAAATTCTCGTACACAGCTAATAATTAAATGGAATGGGTTTGAGCCAGAAGAGGTAGAAGCGGCGACTATTCACAAATTCAACAGCAACTGTGACTACTGATAATACTGGAATTATCAGTGTACAAAGTACAATACAGTACCTATGAGGCAGACTGCTGAGCTGGTTCCCGCTCCCCGTAAGCAACTACACGCGCGCGCACACAAAGTTCGGTCATTGGCTCTCCTAAATCTCTGCTGCTGCAGCAGAGATTATTACACAAGCTGCAGCAATGGAGAAACAAATGACAACCAGAGTTTAGACCACCAAGCGCTGGGTAATGAAATTGGGAATAACATCATAAGAGCAAGACAGACACAGGGATCGAAAAAAGATCTAGCAGTACACAAAACATAAGAACTCCGGGAGCTCACATAAACAGGATAACAGTATGAAACGTGAAGCAGGTAAACAAGACTGGTTTTCAACTTGGAAAATCTTTAAAGACAATATTACAGCACTAGAATACGCAGCATCTGCATTTACCTAATACTGTGAAGCACGAAAAGGTTGAGAAAGTCAATAGGTTCACAATAAGACATGCTTGAAACGATGACAAGGTTAACGGAGCTCAACCTAACAACTTTATTAAAGGACAAAAGAACCAGAAAAAGCATGGGCACTACTTATACAATATTGCGTGAGCTGGACAAGGTTGGCAGAGACAGAAGATGAAGGTGACCTACCTTGGGGACGACGAAGGTGACCTACCTTGGGGACGACGAAGGTGACCTACCTTGGGGTGCATAAGCACGAAGGGGAGCTCGGCGGTGACCTCTCCTCCCATGGCTCCCAGGTAGAGCTTGACCTTGACCGTGTAGGAGATGACCATGCCAAACATGTCCCGGGACTCAGGGTTGGACAGCCTGCGTGGACAAGATGGGTTAGAATACAAGACAGGCGTACACTTGTCATGTGGTATAGTGAGCAGGGGGAGGGGGAGTAGTAACGTGATTTGTGAAAAAAGCCTCACACCAATTATTTAGAAACTCAATATATTTCTTTATTTCTAAGACAATTTTGATTTAAAGCTGAAAAAATCCTGACGGAATATCGCTACTAAGTAGAGTAAAAACTTTAAGGGTGATATTAGTAGGGAGAGAAGACAAGCCACGAGAGCGGCAGGTGCGTGCCACGGTGCGCAGAACACCTCTTTTAAGATACAGCGATGCAAATCACACGACCAAGAAAATATAATGTAACAATATGATGAGCTTAAGAACACGAGGGATGTCAAGAGATGCAACAGTAATGCCGGCTAACAGAGGTAGGCTCGGTGGAACAAAAATGGTCTGGTAACACGCGGAAGTTACATGAATGTAAGATGCATAGCCTACTAAAAATATAAAATTTTATAGTTTAGGACGACTGGACGCAACATGGGATGGGTAAATGGGGGGGGGGGGTAGAAATAGCCTAAGCTACTCTATCCCTTTGAGATGTATTTCTTGCTTATCTCAATAAACATACTTGAACTTGAACTTGGGATGGGTAAAACATGCAGAACATAAGATAAAGTATAACATGCAACTTGAGAGGAGGGTGAAAGCTTACAGCGTGGAGGAGGCGAGGTTGGTGTGGATGTTCTTGAGGTGGCCGTCGAGGGCGACGCCTCGGCGGTCCATATTGTTGCTGAGTGTGGGCGACAGTGTCAGCTGCTTCTGAAGGCCCGACCCCGGGTTGATCGGACACCCCTCTCTGTGGGAGAAGTGTCCACACTGTAAGTGTTGCTCATTCGTAACTTTAAACACTTGTCTGAATACCGTGACTTCCGGTGGTCGAGACCCTTCTTTCAGGCGGAACGCACACAAATATTCACCCTTTATAAATATCAGCTCTTTTATACTCTCTAATCTTGCACATTTCACCAAAAATAAAAATAATGAAGCAGTACCTTGATACATAATAAGTACCAAGAGCAAACTTATTTACCAACCACAAACTTAGCATATTTTACTGTTATGTCAGCGTAACTCACTGAGTCTCCACGCTGGCGACGGTGCTGCGGTACTGGCCGCCGGAGAAGAGACAGATGTCGACAGACTGCTGGACAGCGGCCTTGATCTTCTTCACTGTCTTGTTGCTGTTATTCCTGATGACGCAGTTAACGAGGATGTTCTCGTAGTGATAGTAAAGCTGCTTATCAAGCGACACCTCCATCTCCAGCTCGCCGGGGCTTAGCATGAAGTCCTTCCTGACTATGCTGCAAGGCTGCTTGCCTACCTTGCTGGGGGCGAACTGGATACGTCGGATGTTCATTACAATCGTAGATCTGGCAACACGTGGACGTATGTTGGATATGAAACAAGAAATTTGCAGCAAGAATTTTCATATATTTTTGTGTGGCATTTTTAATAAGTAAAATAAAGTAAAACTTCCAACTATTATTTTGTATATTTAACATCAGCCATAATTATGTTACAGTTTAGCACTGGCAAGTTTACATCTTCCGTTACTCACCTCTTGTGGCTGTGTTCGTCTTCCTTGTCGCCGATAAAGACCTTGATATAATACTCGACGCCACAGGGACGACCCTCGTCATCCCGCCCTGGCTGGATGGTCACGGAAGGCGGGGCGTTGAGGGGCATCTGGAAGGAGAACGGGTAAGTGTTCCCACCCAACTTCTTAATGAGACGTTCTTGCAGCTTGGTGACCTCAGCGTCGACCTTTGGAGGATAGATCTGCTCAGAGGCGAGGTAGAGCTCCTTTTGGAAGTTGAGGCCCATCACCTCATCATCCTCCCGGCCGTACCTGAAGCTGCACACCAGCTGACCAAACACCTTACGGCCTTGCAAGTAGTCAGCGTCCAACATCAGCACTCCGTCTGCAGACGAGCAAACAAAGTTACGGCCTTCCAGTTATCACGTATCTCAATGATTACCGACCATCATTTTGTTCGTCATTTCCTTCACACAACTAATCCCAGCATTTTAAAACAACTTTGTGGGCCCTTATAGAGTTCGTGACGTGAGCTGGCGCTCTGGGCAGGTGTGGATATAACGATGGTTAATAAGAATGGAAAAGTAAACTCAAATACGAAGTAATACACTTCGTAAAACTCCTGTTTGTTTAATGCCTACCGGGTTGATTTTACTGATATCATAATGTGCCATTCGATGCAATAGTTCAGGGAAACGATATAAAACTATGACATCATGAATTACCAAATACATGCTGAATGAACAGACTTCGTGCCACACAGAATTCACCAGTGGTAAAGACTCACCAAAGGGGTCGAGTAAGAGACTAGGCAGGACTCACCAACGGGTCGAGTAAGAGAGTGGTCAGGACTCACCAACGGGGTCGACAGCGGAGACATGATCGACGAAGTCTCTGCGGCCAAGGTAGATGGTCAACTTGCCGTTGGGCGCCGCCTTCTTGAATACCTTGAACTGTACCACCATCTTGATTGACTTAAACGTATCTTGCTGGCACTTGACAGTCTTGCAGTGCCCTGGGTGTGGCTTGACTGGACGGTCAAGACGGAGTGTAAGTCGCTGTAGTAGGCAGGGAGCAGAATTCTGCGAGGCAAAGCAACAATGACTTGATATCGATTGCATCGCCAGAAACTTGTTATGAAAACACCGATATTAAAATACTTAATCGCCAGAAGCTTTTTATATTTCATTATAAAAGAGAGGCGGAGAAAATAACTATATATGAAACAAGCAAAAAAATAAATAATAAAAAAAAAACCGCTAGCAGTAGAGAGCGGAGAGCGGCGACTCACCGAACGTTGCTAGCCCTTGTGCTGACGAAATGAAATGGCCAGAGGCAGCGTCCAGGAGTTATATACTCGTTACTGCCCTCCCTCCCCACCCCTTCTCCATAACAACCCTCCCCCCCCCCCGCCATCCCTCCCCTTCCACACTCCCCATCCTCCCCGTCACCCACCCAACATTCACCCACCGGCCATCCATCAATGAACTCATAATGCATCCAAAGTTTGCCAGTAATGGCTAACTTATTACCTGTCCCTGTATGACAAACCAGCCTATGAGATGGGTACCTTACAAGCTCTGTTACCTCTCATATAGTCGTAGACACAGATCCTGTATTCCAACCCCGTGGTGTAAGACACTCGCCTGGCGTTCCGCGAGCACTTTGTCCTGGGTTCGTATCCTAGCCGGGGAGGATTTACTAGGCGTCAATCCTTAACTGTAGCCTCTGTTTATCCAACAGTAAAATGGGTACCAACGATTTAGCGGGGTCATATTCAGGGGAACATAGGATTAAGGACTTGTCCGAAACGCTATGCGTGCTGTACAAGAATGTAAGAACTCTTGTAAATATAAATAAATAAATAAATGAAAATACCTGCGTCTGACACTTGGGCCGAATATTGGATGGTGCTCGTTACCCGCTGCGGAATATTATAATTTTCACAACTTACAGAAACAATTATAAAATAAATTGAAAGCTGTTTTTTCTACTCTTGTAACAGGAGGAAAGTTTCTACAGAAATTTAGAGCGGAGGTGACACGGAATAATCAAGACAAGCGAGGGGCAAAATTACACTTTTGCGCTCGAGCGGCAACAGCTATGGGGCTTCTTGGAGCTTAGCCTCGCTCAACCTAGTTTGTGGCCCCCGTCCACCCCACGCTGCCTGCTAGGGGCGCACGCACGCACTCATGCGCTTACACACACACACACCGTCAGTAGTTTCAAAGCGTTATATGACAAAGAGTGCTGGGAAGACGGGACACCACGAGCGTAGCTCTCATCCTGTAACTACACTTAGGTAATTACACACACACACATGCTCGCACACGAGTGTGAGTGAGAAAGTATACTCACCTAGTTGTTTATGTTTAATTTTATCGTAATTGTTATTAAGGAGGTGGCTTTCCAAACCTTCGTTTACAGGTCATTCCCGTAGCTTGCCACGACTTACATGAAATCTTTGGATCTTCTCAATTTCTTCAGTGCTGCACGTTTCAAAACTTGTCTAACATACAGTAGTGTACAATGTTCCGAATGATTAACTTTAAAGGTCGTCCCTACATTTACTATTACTCGCGAAAAGTGACAAAGTTATTATGGGAAAGGTGGCGTTGCGTCCACGAGTACCTTCTTCACCGTACTGGTTCCTGAAGCTGTCTCTCTGGTCTCACTTCTCTCACCATTCTCGTTACTGTACATTTACTGGTATCGTATCCTAATAGCTATTTCTCAACACATATCCTGCAGTGTTTACTATTTGTGCCTGCAGAATCGAACTATTAGCTCTTGGACCCCGCCTTTCTAACCAATCTATTTTTAATTTAGTGTGTTTAGGTGGTCCTGCAGCAGGTGCAGCCTTCTCACCAGCTTATCATTACGCAAATATTAGCATGTAGAAGGTTTTTGGTAATCGAAGAAGATGCACCCAGCCAGCCTTCTCTCTCTCTCTCTCTCTCTCTATTATCCAGGATACCCTGGTGTAGAACCATCAGGTTCACCACACATGATGACTGCCTATAAATACATGCTGCCACTCAGATCCACATGCTTTACGGGCTCACCATAGTCCGTGCTACATGGACACTTCGTTCTGAGTAGCTAAATCTAAAACAACATCAGCTCCACAACACCTACTCGGTACAAGACCTCCTCATGGAGGACACCTCACCAAACTCCAATGACAGTACGGCTCAGCTAAAGTCTCAGGCAAAGAAAAAAACGGAAGGCCTAGAGGTCAACACTAACCCCACCAGCTCCGTAACTGGTACAGCCAGCCCTCCGAGGCTGAAATCCACCATGAAGACCCCCAACCATGCCCCGACCTCTAGTATCAGCTATTGATACAGATAATGGCTCCAAAGAGCCTCCACTTACGGGTTCACCATAGCCCGTGCTACTTGGAACTTTTTGTTCTGAGCGGCTGAATCTAAAACAACAACAGCTCCACAGGTCGCTACCTGTCTATCACTGGTGGGTTGGACATGTATATGAGTGGGATTGGGTGGTTATAGATAGGAGCTACCTCGTATGGGCCAATAGGCCTTCTGCAGTTACCTTTATTCTTATGTTCTTACTTTCTATGGTACTTAACAGGCTCTGTCTGTAGACTGTATGTATGTTTTCTTAGAACACCGACCTGTACGAATGCCTTCTCGAATGACTAGTGTGTCAGAAAATAGCATGGAGTGAAGAGCAACCAAGTGTTCTTGTACGTCATTAGCGATCGCACGGAAGGGTGATGGTTCGTAGGGGTTGGGGGGGGGGGGGGGGTTGGGGAAGGGGCAGGTACGCGGCTGACATCAACACGCTCCTATATGGTGGGGACGGGGTTGACGTCACCAAATGATTAGTCTCTAACGTCACAAAGAAGGGCTAGAAATGCGCGATCATTGCATTTCCTGCAATGTCAAAATTATTCATAAGAATATATATATATATTGCTATCTGGGAGATCGCTAATTTGTTTTGGTGTTGACTGAAGGTATATTTTTATCCGTTAATTAGAGATTATTATATGAATTAATATATGTATTAATTAGTTCATTTATATATATATTGTTATATGCGAATGAGCAGGAACTTGAGAGTAATGGTGATATTTCTCGGTGGGAGTATATGTGTACTTGCATATCAGCGACTTCGGGGAGTGAAACAAAGTGGTGAAGTGTAATACATTTGAGCAAATTCCAATATTATGAACAGCTTCATTAGAAGTGGTACTCAACCCTATAATTTACTATGCCCGTTCTGCTCGCTTAACTGCGTTTGGTCACATGAGAGCACCATGTGGCTTCCAGCAACCACAGTCTGACGCACGATCACTCGGTGCCAGTGCCAGCCGGAGAAGATTAGTGTCTTGTGTGAGGGCGAGAGGGTGTGGATGGAAGGCACAGTAGCCACATTTGTACAGCTTCTCCACTGTCCTCGGCTCACAACCAAGGGACCCGGGTTTAGTCCCTAGGTGGGTCGAAACGATTGGGCACGTTTCTGTTTACCTAATGCCAGTGTTCAACCAGTAAATATGTTCATCCCGGGAGTTAGATGTTATACACTGCATCCTAGGAAAGGTCCGTAGCTAGCCTGGTGGGACCTCCATAGGACTAAGTACAGATAGAGTATGCGTTTAATTTATAATTCGTGTTTGTATGATGCAGGGATTAGGTCCGAGGGACAGAAGAGCTGAAGGCATGTTAGATCATTGTGATGGAAAAGGAAGGAAAATTTTGACGAGTAACGAAGGGGTTAAATACAGACAGATCCAGAGAATTTACACATAATTTTATGTGTACGCCATAAAAAGATAGTGAAGAAATTGAAGTTGACACTGAAATAAGTTTATTGAGGTATAAATACATAGGAATGAGGTAACTCAAGCTATTCTCACCCCGTTCAGTACAACCTGTTTAATATATATATCACAATCTCTATTGTGTGATATTCTATCACACACACACATCACAAACAATCATCATGTTACCAAACATTCTGATTGATAAACATATATACATTTCTAGATTGTGAAGCGTTTAGAGAAATAAAATATGATGGGAGAGGAGGGAGCTCAGGGCGGTACCTGGCGCCTCACTATAGTGGCTTCTTTAGCCTCTTCCGCGTGGCATCCACTGCTGACCCCTGCAGTGCTGCGTCACCCGTCATCCTATTAGTCTCTTCTGCCACTATATAACCCGAGAGACGACCCTGCCACATCCACCGACCTCAACCTCTCCCAGCAGCAGCCAAGCTAGTCAAGACAGATAAGTGACATACAAGCGACAGCCAAGATGGTGGTACAGTTCAAGGTGTTCAAAAAACCGGCGCCCAACGGCAAATTGACCATCTACCTTGGCCGCAGAGACTTCGTCGATCATGTCTCCGCTGTCGACCCCGTTGGTGAGTAAACCTGGCAACTCGGTAATTTTATCACATCTACAGTTCATCCTCTGTCCTTGTCCTATTCTTCTCCGCTCATCCACTTCACCTCGTACTTCGTTTTGTACATCAGAATAATGAGGGTGTTTGGTACTGCTTCCATCCTCTTTTGAGAGTGAATTGTACGTATTTGTTTATTTATTGTTATTGTCTGCTTTACTGTATGTTACATAATGTTTACATCTACAATTTTCATGAAATTTTTAAGCATTTACTGAACACGTTTCATATTTAAAAAATACACAGTATTTGCATGATGTGGGTAGTACTCATGGCTTTGAAAAATAAAGTTTTTTTATTTGGTTAAAGTATATCAACTGTTGGGAAGTGTCTTAATGTATTTGACAGACTATGCAATGGAATTTGATATTATCAGCCCACTAAATATACTACATCACTATCGGTGTAGCAGGTCGTTTCTTCACCTACTGAGAACAACTTTCAGAATATAGCAGCCTCGTACTTACTTTTGCTAGGCACAAACTCATCTTCTGAAGCTTCATCTTCTCTACCGCAGAGAAACTTTATTATGATCTTATGACGTACGTATTGTCAAACTAATGAGAAAACATTTTACCGTTAGAGATGCACAAATTATTTAGAAAATAATTTTGTTTTAATACAAAAAAAAATCTCGAATCGAGGCGTCTGTTTCGTTAGGCTTCAACATGTGGTAGTGGTAGAGCCTGTCCTCTCGAATACATCGCTTTTTGACGTCAAAATTCAAAAATAAAATATGATTAGGCTCACAGACAACAACGATTTCTATGCGTGGGTCCATCGGTTAGGTTCGGGCAGTTTAGTAAATAATTGTTGACATTATGACCCTCGAGACGGAGCTGGCATCACTCAGTAGCCTAGTCTCACAGTTCTCTCCCTCCTTCTTTGTAAGTAATTATCAATAGAAGGCACTCCTTCTTTGTAGTGAAGCTGGAAATATGTCTCCAGGAAAACATTGTCATTTAAAGCCTTACTATAAATGCCATTTTTACCTCGGGTCTAAGTACTAGGTTAACAATTTACTGGTTGTCAGATGGCGTGCTGGTGGTGGACACCGCCTACCTGCAGGGCCGCAAGGTATACGGCCAGCTGGTGTGTAGCTTCAGGTACGGCCGGGAGGAAGACGAAGTCATGGGCCTCAACTTTCAGAAAGACCTCTACCTCGCCTCCGAACAGATTTACCCTCCGAAGGCTGTTGAACCCACCAAGCTGCAAGAACGGCTCATGAAGAAGCTTGGCGCCAACTCCTACCCGTTCACGTTCAAGATGCCGGAGAACGCCCCGCCCTCCGTCACCATCCAGCCAGGGCAGGACGACGAGGGCCGCCCCTGTGGTGTTGAGTACTACATCAAGGTTTTCGTGGGAGACACCGAGGAAGACCGCAGCCACAAGCGGTGAGTAACGCTCAAGAGTCAACAAACATGACTACTCTTTGATCCATGCTTCTTGGCAACTGCAGCCTCATATGCCAAATTATTTGGCAATATTTGATTCTTTAATTAGATTTAAGTTATTTCGACCCCATATTCCGCAATCCTTTAGACATTTATAATAACCGCCAGCATTTGTTTATAATGTAATATGGCTGCAATAACATCCAATTTACTTTTAAGTCTATAGATTACTTAATACAAAAAACTGAAATGTAACTCGCAGGGAGCTTTCATCTGAGCTAAAAAAAAATCCTGTTTAAACAAAGACTAATTAGGCAATATAGCATATTTTTATCCAGTCTAAGAAACTATAAAATGTAAATGTTACGAGGAGAATAATTGATGGTTGACTGAGAGTTGTAATGGCCTCACCAGGTCCACCATTCAACTCAACATCCGACGCATCCAGTTCGCCCCCAGCAAGAGCGGAAGGCAGCCCTGTACCATCGTCAGGAAGGACTTCTTAATGAGCCCTGGAGAGCTGGAGCTGGAGGTGACGCTCGACAAGCAGCTCTATTACCACAACGATAAAATTGCAGTTAATATAATAGTGAAGAATCACAGCAACAAGACAGTGAAGAAGATCAAGGCCGCTGTCCAGCAGTCTGTCGACATCTGTCTCTTCTCCGGCGGCCAGTACCGCAGCACCGTCGCCAGCATGGAGACCAAGTCAGTTACGCTGCTTTCATATCACTATATTACCCATTACCAAAATACAAAATGGGACTTCTTAAGCTTTTTGAACATTTCATATTTCATTCTGTACAAGTCTTAACAAAATATAATTTAATTGAACGGAATATGCATCGAGTATGTCTATGCTTCCACGTGAGCAGCATTTGCTCATCAAGTTCTTATGGTTGACAGCGAGGGGTGCCCCGTGAACTCTGGCTCGTCCCTGCAGAAGGTGCTCTACCTGACGCCCACACTCAGCAACAATATGGACCGTAGAGGCGTCGCCCTCGACGGCCACCTCAAGAACATCCACACCAACCTCGCCTCCTCCACGCTGTGAGCTCTCACTCTCCTTTGTTCATAGCTCTATATCCCAGTATTCTCGTATTCTCTTTAGTTACATTGTACATGTTAAGAGTCCTTCAACCACTGTGTTAGCGATATCATGAATATTTTTTTTATAGATTTCTGGTGCTACTTGTTTTTTCTACCCCTTTATAATATTATTGTACATTGTTAATTCTGTCTTATATTCTGTAACATCTTCTGGGGGGGAGGGGACGTCGATGTAAACGTAGATATGTACACAGGCTGCTTATCCCTGACATAATGAATTATTATTATTACTTGTCTATCACGACATTCATTTCAATGCAAGCATAAAAAAAGAAATCCAGAATTTGAGGTTTACCTAAATATTGTATGACATTTCTTTAACCCAATTTCATTTTATCTTCTACAGTATATGCCTTTTAATCAGATTTTATTTCAAGGACCCATTTTGCAGCACGCCCAGTCATACTGCATTTGACACACAGTTTCTAACCCATCTTGTCCCTGCAGGCTAGCCAACCCTGAGTCCCGGGACATGTTTGGTATGGTCATATCTTACATTGTGAAGGTCAAGTTATACCTGGGAGCCATGGGAGGCGAGGTCACTGCTGAGCTTCCATTCGTGCTCATGCACCCCAAGGTAGGTCACATTCCTCCTAATGCACCTCAAGGTAGGTCACCTCCCTCCACACTTCTTGATATTTTCATAAACGAACAGGCAGGTCACCACTGTCTGACTTCCTCACATGTACGTACCTGTTAGGAAAAGTTGAGGAGTAAATGCTAACTGCCGATAAGATACCTCACCAAAGTATATCTTTTAAAGTAAAACAGTGCTACATAGATCAATTTACTGATTAATAAGTAACCAATAGGGATTCATACTTCTAATATTTTCTACACTAGCTTGTTCTAATGTGTCTTCTTCACAGCCTGACCTCCGCCGGATGATGCGGGCCGACAGTCAGGCCCAGGTGGAGGCCTTCCGCTCAGAGAGCATGGGTCAGTCCGTTGACATGGACTAGTGTCATACGTCATTAGTCAACTTGGTCATGGAGGCAGCAGGAGGCCCTCAGGCTGGTCGCCTATCACCTCGGCCACACAAAGGAACAGCTGCTAAGACCTGTTAAGGTCTCTTCGTATTAAATTAGATTAATTTTAGGTTCATATCTGATTTCAACTTTGTATCTAAAATAATGGCCTGCTGCTTGGTGGATTTATTGGCTTCATTGAATAATAAAAAAATTGTTTATTTGTATAGGTAAGCTCCATATACAAATTCTGAGATAAACAAAATGTGCTCCACTTTAAATAGGAACATGGGAAAAGTAAAAGTTTAGAATTTGTTAGAATTTGTTATCAGCAAGGGACTCTACCCAGTGGGCACAATATCCAAGCATTAAGGTAATTCAATAGTTATTCAACATGCATCTAATGTTAATCTTGGATATTGTGGCCACTCTATTAATGCGACCAGCACTAATTATATAACATTTCTTATATAGTTATACATTTAACCATTATTTAAGTATTATTCGTAGACAAATTGCAATTATGTTTCCCTGACATTAGTCACCATTTACAACTTTCAGTAGCAGCCGACCACCCAACTGTTGGCTGATGGATGTTTCTTACCCCTTACCTTGAGGTTACCTTGAGATGGTTTCAGGGCTTAGCGTCCCTGCGGCCCGGTCCTTGACCAGGCTTCCTGGTTGAGGCCCTAGTGAAACAAACAGCATATTAGAGAAAATTTAATAGAAATTAAATCATGCAAACAAAGGTCAAGTACATGTGTTAAATATTGTTTTCGGTTCTGAATCTCAAAGGTTCACGATTACATGTGGTGTTTTGTGTTTTGTGAAAATTAAATATTCGCGAGTGTCAAGGCTATTTTCTGTGATATTTTATTAGATAGATCGAGCAGCCATCAGGACTATTGTGTAGTGAGTGAGGGAGAGTGGAAATGGACTCCGCCTTCTTCTGGAGCAAAGGACCATTAAATGTTGTAAAACTACAACCAAACTCCGGCTCAGAGACCATTGCTATATACATCAACAAATAATCTCAGGTGATGAATAAATGTTAAGTGTTAGCTGGTGTAGGAACACCAAGATATCTGGTGTTGGAGATCTGGTTGCCTGGTGTCAGAACACCAGTTGCCTGGCATCGGAACACCAGTTGCCTGGCATCGGAACACCAGCTGCCTGGCATCAGAACACCAGCTGCCTGGCATCGGAACACCAGCTGCCTGGCATTGGAACACCAGTTGCCTGGCATCGGAACACCAGTTGCCTGGCATCGGAACACCAGCTGCCTGGAGTTGGAACACAAGTTGCCTGGCGACGGAACACCAGCTGTCAGGCATTGAAACACCAGCTGTAATACACCGTATTATGGAACACTGTAAATTTCAGTGATGGGCCTACATGGTGGCCTGAATAGCTTCATAGCTTTTCATTTGTGCAGAGGGGACTTAAGAAAGTATATGCAAGGTACCTGCTTCCCCTTTGTGCAGACAAAATTAATTAAATTTCTTATACTATCTTCTCTTAAAACCCTGACTTGAGAACACATATACACCTTTTAAACACACACTCACTTTTGCATATATTACATATTAACACATTCATATGCATACATTCACTCACATTGACACTAGCATTCTCACAATAACAGTCACTAACAATTCACACACACACATGCATACTTATACATAAACACAAACATAGCTCTCATCCTGTAACTAAGATAATTACACACAAACATTCATACATTCTAACAAATAAATTGTCAATTACAATTTCACACACAAATCATTTGTTATTAACACATTAAAACAATGTTTTTAAGAATATTGTATTTGTAAAGCATTAAAAAGTAACTCTACCACCAAGTCCCAAAATTTAAACACAGCCCTAAGAAAAATGACAATGACTCAGACATGATTTTTGGTCTAGTTACTGGATATTGGAGTTAGCGAAGGCTGAACTGGTGAGCATCCAGTGTTTACATTGCTTTCTCAAGACACATCTTGTGTTACGTAAAGCCCTGCTGTACGTAAGGTACAATTTTTACACTCACAAGTAATGTAAACAATATAAACATCACATTTTGTTTCTTCTACAGGTGTAGCAGGTATCCCAAAATGTTTGAGAGGTGCCATAATTCAAGAATGTAATTCCCAGCATGTAAAAATGTGTGAAAAAACCTGTACCAATTTGCACACTTCAACCCATGACTTATACTTTTCTTTCTAATGTTGGTGTTCAATAGCCTTGTGTAAAATAAATTGCTTTCCAAATTTCCACAAAATGAAGAGTATTAATTTTGCTAATACAGTTCGTCAATATTGTACTTTGCTTGACTTGGGATGCAGACAAGTGGTCTTATTGTGTTCTTGCTTGTGTTGTTTTACATATAAATTTCAATCTATGTATAAATTCCATGTAAGTCAAGAACCTAAAGTATGGAACAGTCTACCAAATAAAACCAAATTCTGTATAATACCTAATATATTTAAATGTTAAAAAATACCAGTTTACCTTTCTGTAAATTTATAATGCATATTTTCCAAGTTGCTGATTACTGTATACAGTATTATAATACTTTGCCCAGTTTCATTTGATACATACGGGATATTTATAAATTTTAAAAGAAACCATTACATTGTAACCTTGCTTTCAGGAATGACTTGTACTAGCAATGAAGTATGAAAATAGCAACAGAAGACGTCTCCTTTAAAATTAAATTAACGACACCGCTTATCTGTTACTATGTCCAGTATTTACCTATATTGTGTTGCTTGTATGACAATTAAAAATGTGCAGTGTTGTACAATTTGTAACAGACTTATACTTGCAATTATGTGCAAATTTGTGACTACCGTATTTAACAAAGTAATGCAGTCATATGAAGATTTCTCTATTTACAAACTATTGCATACTCAATAACAATCTAAACTTCATATATTATTGTTTTTCTGTATTATGTTTTAATCAACAATTTGAACTATTGGTATTAAATCTTATGGAATAAGTAAGTAATTTCATTCTAATAGTATTATCATAAAAACTAGACTATTGCAACCATCTAATTTGACATTTTTTATACAAACATATTTGTAAGAATCTTGTTATTACATTATTATCATCATTCATAATTAAAAAATTATGCCATCTGAGAAACATTTTATAACTTACCTTGTAACTTTATTTTTTTGGGTAATTTCTGAGCAAGTCCTCACTCATCAACACCTCTCTATAGATTAATTCAACTGTAAGTAAAATATGAGGTTCCTCTCTAGTGTATGATACAAAGCACATATGTAGAATACCACCTATTTCTTTATCATTATCAGTTACTTGGCCTATCTCATGTAACATGGCTCAGCATTCTCCTTAATCTTTGTTGATAGGTCTTGAAAGAACCCTTGAGGCATTGTCTGCCTCCACTGCACACTGGTCTTCTAAATTTAGTTTGGTTTTCCTTATTATTTTTCATATCTCTTGCTAGTTTGATAAATTGTTGTAGATTAACTTACCCATCCTTAATTAGTTAATACATATCTTTTTAATTTTCTAATAATGTTCTTTAGTCCCATGGTTACACATCTTTAGTAATTATTATTCCATATACTGTATTTCTGTACAATACGTACTATATTTTTATGGTGTAATTAGAATATTTTAAATGTGCTGTCATATTTATCTGTACACAATGTGATCCAGTGTCAGCTCACCTATTATCAGGGTCACGTTCCCTCCCTTAGACAGCCCCCTACTGTGGTCAGGTTTACCCAGTCTACCCTCCTCAATTCCTCATTCTATTTATTACAGCTTTATGAAAATCTGGCACTTTGTATACAGATAATGCTCATTGCAAAATAAATTAAATTATATAGTATGACACAACAAAATAAATACTCCTCTGTCTTAGGATTCACAAATTTTTGTGCTTTACATCTTTTCATTATATCTTCATTTCTTATCTATCTTGCTAACAGTACTAACACATCTTCCTTTCAGCCTGGTTGAAATCTAAACCAGGTGTAAACAAGTGTTATACACCATCCTGCTGGCTTTAGAAAATATTATGTAACAGACAGACATACACAATGGCTTTAGCTCTATATCTTGCAAACAAATATTAAATTATAAATAAAATAACCAGAGCTGCCATATGACATGCATTTCATGTTTGCCATGTTGATATAAATCAACCAACCCAAACAAATTTAATTAGAAAGAAAATAAAGGAATGCAAATAATACAAAACATACAAAACTCAACAGGAAAAAGGCCATAAATAAACTGCGAGCGATCATGAGGACCCCATACATCCACAGATCTCCAGTTTCAGCTATTGATACAGGTAGTGGCTCCAAAGAGCATCCACTTACGGGCTATTCATGTCCGTGGCATCTTTTGGGTGGATTAATCTGAATCAATCATCAACAGGAAAAAAAATAAGATAGATGTATAATACTGCTCGGCTAACTGCTGCATTTGGCAGGCACTGAACTCACTTAGCAGTAGAGGCAGGCTGGTAGATATTCATGCATAGTCACATTACCGGAAGCTGCCTGGCAGATAAAAAGATTACCCACTGCTCCGTTATTTAGAGATTGTCTTATGTTATTTATTCATCATAATGAATTCTTCAGTACTAAATTTTTTATACAACAAATTCATAATCGTTATTATTATTATTATAGTTACTTTTTAATTTATGGCCCCATAACATAATTATTATCTTTATAACTGATAGACATAGCCTTACCTGAAATGTTCTGCATATAGAGAACATTACAATTAAAATCTGTTGTGTTTAAATTTAATTATATATATATATATATATATATATATATATATATATATATATATATATATATATATATATATATATATATATATATATATATATATATATATATATATATATATATATATATATATATATATATATATATATATATATATATATAAGATAAGATACCTTTAAGATAAGATAGATTAAGATTACCTTTAATCTATAGACTAAGATAGATTAAGATTAAGATAAGATAGCTTTAAGATAAATAATTAAATACAATATATATATATATATATATATATATATATATATATATATATATATATATATATATATATATATATATATATATATATATATATATATATATATATATATATATATATATATATATATATATATATATATATATATATATATATGTCGTACCTAGTAGCCAGAACTCACTTCTCAGCCTACTATGCAAGGCCCGATTTGCCTAATAAGCCAAGTTTTCATGAATTAATGTTTTTTTGTCTACCTAACCTACTTAACCTAACCTAACCTAGCTTTTTTTGGCTACCTAACCTAACCTTACCTATATATATAGGTTAGGTTAGGTTAGGTAGGGTTGGTTAGGTTCGGTCATATATCTACGTTAATTTTAACTCCAATAAAAAAAATTGACCTCATACATAGTGAAAAGGGTAGCTTTATCATTTCATATGAAAAAAATTATAGTAAATATATTAATTCAGGAAAACTTGGCTTATTAGGCAAATCGGGCCTTGAATAGTAGGCTGAGAAGTGAGTTCTGGCTACTAGGTACGACATATATATATATATATATATATATATACAATGGCACCTCGATTAACGAGCGGCTCTATCTACGAGCATTTCAAGTAACGAACAAGCCACTCTCAGAACATTTCTCTCTACTAACGAGCTTTCCTCGATCAACGAGCGTTTCTGCTGGTTCTCGGACACCTTTTACGACAGTTTTGTTGTTGTTTTGCAAGACGAGCTTTCCACATGACGAGCTCGGTGCCGGAATGGATTAAACTCGTTAATTGAGGTGCCACTGTGTATATATATATATATATATATATATATATATATATATATATATATATATATATATATATATATATATATATATATATCAGAAAGGACTTCTCCCTTGAAAGACCACATATTTATAAAATGCAGCCCAAGAATGATATTGAGATAAATATAGGGTTGGTCGATAAGTTCATTTGCTCAATTTGCCTCACAGCACAATATATTATATTATATTATATTATATTATAGTATACTATAGTACTGAACAATAGACACTGCTCTTACAGATTAAAACTTTATTAAATACTAAATCAAATATGCAAGATATTTAATTATTAAAAGAAGGAAAAACTGTGTGTATTATAATTTCAATACGACCACAGGCAGAGTATGGCTTTATTACATTTGTAGCATCGTAATGTTTTAGCTGCATTAGTCTCTCTCTTCTTCCAAGTTTTTATTAAATTTCATTATCCTGCATGTTTATTTAAACTATCTCTTAACAAATTTATAGCTTAGAAGAAAAACTGATTTCTGAGTATACGAATAGTTTAAAGTACATGAAGGTGGATGGAGGGAATCCTCCCTCCTTCCATTCATATTATTGTACAGTATTTAGAAATCTTAAAAATATTTTTAAGGGAATAATCATCGATTAGATAATAAAGAATACAATGGGCAAGATAATAGTTAATAAAAATGAGGAACTAACAAATTTACAACATTCATGAGCTTTAACTCACCCAATATTAAAGCCCAACTACATACATACACATATTACCCTCTGTTCCAGCCCACTCTCTCTCTATTTGCTTATAGTAAATTTTTTTGGAGTTATGAAGAGTGAAAAAAGCATGAAAAAACCAGCATCAAATGTAATGAAATGTGAATTTCTGGGTGAATGCTGGTGGCTCCCTGTAATATATGCTGAGATGGTTCCCATCTACTGAGTTATACCAGCAATAGAGGCCTACTGAGCACTAGATTCAGAATCCCGCCCCCTTCATGGAGGTGCAGGGAGCGGTGACATTTATTTTTGCCCCCACACCAGGAAAAGCATCCAGAAAATTTGAGAGCCAAAACAAACCACTGCTGGATTCAAAATGAGATGAAACCTTCAGTCCTATTAAAACCTTAAACTATTTTCTGATGGGAGTTCCTTGTGGCTCCCTTTAGCTAACTACCCACAGAAAAGGAAGAAAACGTGTGAACATACCAGGGAGGAGGGAGCACAGTAGGATAAGAATGAGACTCCTGACTGAGAGAGCAACCCAAGGCCACACAAGAGAGCCGAGGCTTGGGACACTTGCTGGCAGTGGGCTGCCTCTCTCTTTCCCTCAAAAGAGTGGGGCAAACAAGCTTGGAGTGGTTCTGATAGATTTTGATAATTTGTTTGCATAGTTGGGGTGGGGGGGGGGGGGGTGTCAGCTGGTTTTGAGGTTTCGTTCTCTTTTGAATCCAGCAGTGGTTTGTTTTGGTTCACCGATTTTCAGGATGTCTTCCCCAGTGTGGTGGCAAAAATAAGTGTCATTAGTCCTCTGTGCCTTTGTGAGGGAGGGGCCCGGATTCTGGCTCCAGTCCCCAGTAGGCCTCTAGAACTTTATGACTGACATAACCAAGTAGATGGTAACCATCTCAGCCAACCCATCCTCTTGTTTAGACAGCACTTTTTGTAACTATGTGGACCATCATACATATATTAACATATTGGACAATTAGATAGTAGAATTTGATATTATTCACTTTAAAAGAGTCCAGAAAAAATAAAACCAAAAACCAAACTTAAATATTCCTAGACCTAACAGAGTACATATATGTACAGTACTATGTTAGACCTTAGATAGCATGTATTAGGACTAAGATGGTTATGTTTAGTTAACAACATTGATGCAAAACTTTTTCTGGTTTGTGTAAATTCAGTAATACCAAATTCTTCTTTCTCATTGTCCATTACATCAATATATGTATGATGGGCCACATCGTACTACTGTATAAGTGCCATCTAAATACTGTAGGAGGATGAGCTGTCTCAGCAAATAGCATTTTAGCTTCAGGGAGCTACATGGGACTCCCCCAGAAGTAAAGTTTTTGGGAAAGATTAGCAGACAGATTCACTGGTATTTAATGTGTAGGTGATGGACGTATAATCTGTAACTCTGAAACTGTTAGCCAATAATAACAAAGATAACAAAAAGCTATACCAACAGCCAATCACAGCACAAGTTATGTTACTTTGTAATAATTAGAGAACAACACCCTAATTCATTATTCCATGTAAAATGTTGTTTATAACAAAATTCTTTTGTTATAAAATTATATTTTATCCATAACAGGTTATGCAATATAATGTATAGGGTCTCCAGGAATGCCTTCTTGCATAGTATCAAATATCAATGGAACAATATATATGTGAAAAATCCAAATAAATACTTTGCACAGCATATTTCTTTCTTCAGCTGATTTCTTTCATGAATATTTCTGCTGCAGCACCCAAACTTCATTCTGTACAATCTCATCCTGGGAGCAAGAAAATACTTGGTTAAAAAAATATAAGGTAAAGGCAAGGTATAGGCAATGAAACTGACACCAAAAAATCACATGAATGTTGGATAAATTCTCTGCTATCTCCAATGCCTTGTTCATGGAAGAGCCTCCAGGCAGCTGTATCTAAACATTATCTCCCATAGAAAAGCCCCATTCCCTTTCCATGAAGTTGTCTATCCATCATTTTAACTCCTGCACTTACCTTTCATTTTCCGTACAAACCTACTTAATAACTATTTCAAGCATAGTGATCTACATAAGTATACATGGTACAAAACGAATGATGAAAGGGTAGAAGTGTCTAATTTTCTATAAATTTGTGGAGATACTGTATTAACATCTCCACATATCAGTTAATGGTACCAAGGGACCTGGTCTACATTTCATATGGCATGTGCTTCGCCTGTGAGTTATCTTTGTCAACTTGACTTCCAATACCTCTTAGGCTAACAGATGACTTTTAACAATTGGCTGTCATCTTTGGAAAAAACATCTTGCTCTCCCACTGTTACTCGTGAGCTTCCACCTCCTCATCTGCCTCTTGCTGACCATGACCCACATTCACCCACCGACAATCAAAATACTGTATTTATTTATGTCATTTGAATTAAGGATATATTTATCAGTATTCAGATAGTTATCTAGAAAACAATGTATATTTGTATATAAATATATATTTCATGCTCTCCTGTGGAAGCACGAGTTCTGTTTCTTTGACCTTAATGAGCTGTTTCTTTGCCTGCAGCCATCTCCTTTTCTGGCAAATGAAGAGACTGTTGACTTCCAAAGAGGTCCCGTTTTAATTACTGTAATGTTTAGTTTGACCAGCTGGGGGTGCATTATCTGTTGTGTCTCATCGTCGCTATCTGCGAGCCACCAGTTTTGGAGCTACAGGATCAACTATTATATTCCTCCATCATTTTATATTTTAGCTCACAGTTATTGCTTGTAACCATACATCATAAGCTGATCAGGATTTAAATGCACTGGAGTATTCAATGAAATAAAATAAAAAATCTACTAACTAAAAATATCATTAATAAATTTAAAAAGACTGAACTTACATCAGGAGTTACAACAGGTGCTTTGGATGCTCGTTCTAGCCAAGTACTTGCAGCTGAATAATTGCTCATTTGAATGTGGCATTTGGCAACAAAGAGACGATTCTCTTTCCATCCGGATGATTTTAATTCCTCGGCTGCTAAAAAGTGGCGAAGCGCTTCTTCATAGGTAGATGATGGGACTTCACCGAACAGTGCCGTTGCTGCTTTTCTCTCGAGCCACGACAGTTGTGACACCTATAAATTAACAGACATGTGAAGTAGGTTAGGAATTTGTGCAAAGTCTTTGTTAAGCAGTTTATAATATTCCTCTTATCATATGAGCCTGTGTAAATCAAATCAAGTTCTTCATCCCATTTAAGTATTCTTATATTAAACATAAATTAATTACAATCTTTTGCATAGAGCTGGCAAATATTATTTCCTAACTCAAGTTAATTTATTAAATTAGGTGTGAGAGTAACAGCAGCAATGCATAATTACCTCAAAACAAAAACGTCCAAGCAGATGGTGTAAAGTAGAGTCTTTAGGTTTAAGCTCCAGTGCACGATCAATGTGGTTTTTGAAGATGTTGCCACTTTTAACACGTTCTGTTATACCTAAGTATTCTCCACGAGCACCAGCAAGTATTGCATACCACTTGTGAATTTCAGCATTATTCTCATCCAGCTCAAGTGCTTTTGCTGCATAATTGTAGGCTGGTAAGAAGTACAGGAGCAGAATGTAAGTTTCAATGTAATGTATACGGGCAGATGGAAGAAAGGCATAGATAGATATAGATACAGTATAAAGATAGATGTAAAGCTAGATACACAATATGTACCTTAATATAAATTCAGCCTTAATTAAAAATCCAGAATTATTTTGCTACTGGAACATTATTTAAAAGGCTGCACGTAAAACCTGGATCAGCTCGGTATCACTAATATTCATCAACCACATGCAGACGATGAGTCGCAACAATGTGGCTGAAGATATGATGACCAACCCCACACTTCAGAAGACGTTTCAAACAACGAGGTTTTACACACGACTTAATAATGGTCTAGGATGGACCAAAACATCGTTGTTTCTCATTTCTGATGTGTGGTTTGGTCTTCATCAACCATATTTCTTTCAAGAGTTATTCTATACTTTTTGCCTTAGTAGTAAATATTACTAAAAAATAAATAATTATATTTTTATACAGTACTGACTGCACTTAAACTATACAAAAAAATAGTACAATATAGTCAGTGGCATTTGACTTGTTTTCTGTGGGTGGCCTAGAACTGCACTTATCTATCAAATGACTATGGGGGAGTGAGATCTAACTCACTATGCCCTGCCTCCTAGCCATTTATACCTGGTGTGCCAGAGCACAGTAGGAGGGGCCAGGAGAGTTGGAACAGGTGAAGCCGTTGTCTCCAACTATCGACCGAGTTGTTTGAATGTTTTGCTCTTTTCTCATGGTTGATGGTTTTCCTTCGCCATTCCAGTTTCTGAGTAGTTCACTTTGTTTTTTGGGTTGATCTTTGACTAACAAAAGAGGTTGGCCCTGGGGTGCTACTTAAGGAGGCCAGCACAGAAAAAGATTAGTTGCTCAGTTTGAATATACCAAGATTGGATTCCAGATGAGCGAGTGTAGTAAATAAGACAAGATCATAGGAAACTAATAGTTTTGCCAGATACAGGACTGACAATATCATAGGAAACTAATAGTTTGTGCCAGATACAAGACCTAAAGAGGCAGAGCAGAGTTATTTCTGTACTATTGCACATGTAAATACCATGTACAGTACACAAATCAAGTTAATTAAGCTTCGGAATACGAAAGAATCAAAAGTTTCTTATTACCATCAAATATTAAGTTTTCCTTAGCCTTCTCATTCCCAAATTTTTCTTGAATAATGGCCTGATTTTTTGTTGCTTTAGCGAGTCTCCACAGGAATTCTGCATTATCCAGGTACTGAAACACATAAGTGAATATATTTTAAGAAACTTCTCAAACCTTTTATGATCAATATTTTATGATAGTAAAATCCTATTAAGTTTATGAATATAAATCATACCATAAATATTTGTAGCCTATAATAAAAGCATTAACAACATTTTATAAATTACAACATATTACAGTAAGATACTTACCAGATATTTATAACTTCTTGTCAATCATAGTAACCATTAGCTGATAACGATAAAAAAACTAAATGATGACTGCTTTATTAATAATATATAAATCATAACTGTTCATCCATCCGTGTATGTGTAATTACCTACGTCCCACTACAGGATGAGACCTGTGCAAGTGGTGTCCCGTTTTCCCAGTCTGTGCATGCATGGCGGTGGGTGGGGGGCAGAGGTTTGTCTGTCTGTCTGTGCTTGTGTTAACGCATGCGTGTGTGAGTAATGGGCCACTTAAAATATATTGTCTGGGGACTCTGCTACCTACACAAACAGCAAAAGGACCAAAAAACTACAGATGTATAAATTGGCGGAGAGACTAGAACCAATAACTGTGTTAGTCTCAATTTTTACCGTGTGTAGAAGTGGCACACAATAGTCCCTTAAACAAGACTGACCATGTATCATCATTGTATAATGCTAAAATATACACATACACTAATACTGTACATGCAGTTTACGTTTCAAAATTTAACACACAGCAAAATATTAATATTGATAAAAAATAATAAGAGTAATGAGGGTCTTGATACTTACTAATTCTTCCTCACTTTTCAGCAAGTTAAAGGCTTGTGTTTGATCATCTCCTGTGCCATCACTAAGTGCATCTACCTGCTCAAGGAGATGGCACAGACGATTATCTTCTGTTGACAAAGATTCGAGTTGTTCCCTTTCATTAGTGCCATTTCCTCCAAAAATGATTCCTTCATCTCTGAAAATGTCACAGTTGTCAGGAATTTCTATCTTTTCTGAGTGACTCCTCACTCCGTGAGAGAGGGATACAATTGATGATGATGTTGATTATTACTTAAAAATAAGAGTAAATACAGTATAAGTATATGACTGCCTTAGAATATATGTCTAACCATCTGATTGACTGAAGTCTGCCTGATTTGAATGACTGACTTTAATGACAGACTGCCCACCAACATCTGTCTTGGTGAAGCCAACTGATGCACCATCCCACTGATGCATATATGTATTATTCTCTTCATTTATCTCTAACCTTAGAGGCACAATATGCAGGATGATTTTAGAGATTATATTTAAGAAACAAAAATGCTTATTTTGTAAAATTGAAATCATGCTCATACAATATATAAATTACTAACCATAATTTTTAAAGTAATAATTATTAATTGATACTAGTACTGTATATATTTAATGCTATTTTCACAAAAGTGAATACTAACCCATCTTCTGGTGTCAGGTCAAAGAATTCATCTTCATCCTCATCAGGAGAGTAGTAATCTGTGTCAGTAGCCTTGCTATTGTCCGTGTCATACTCGTGAGCTGTTTTATAGCTGCTGGAGGTGGTCGTACTGCTGAAACTTACAGTTTTCTTTCGGAATGAAGAAGATCGAGGTGAAGAAAATTCGGTGCAACTGTAAGCTTTATCAAATTCTGAAGGAATTACATAGGCTATTAGTAATTAGATTAAATATTTTGATTAATATATTTAATTACAAAAGTTAATAAAATTATCTCAAATTCATTTAGAATAATGTAAACCAATTCTACTGTATAACAACATTATTATGTTATCATAAATCTATAATTTAATATCATATATGCCATTTACATTTTTAACAGCTTCCACAAAACTATAGCACTGTGTAATGAAGCACCCCTTTTAGGAAGGTGCCTTCATAGCTCCCTACACCTTGTGCAACATTCACAGGACACTGGTCAGGTTTCACACTGGATGATTTTCTTGCCCTATTGGAACAAAGACCTTTTAAATTTCTGTTTTAACCTATCAAAAGGGTGGGAAGTTAGTTGAAACTTAGAGCCAGGCCCCTGCACTGGACTGAATCCTAAGGAAAGCCAAACTACTTGTCTGTAAGAAGACCAGTCAATAGCCAGAGCACAGCAGGTGTTGAGGTATATCGGGGTGACTGACCTCAATTAAAATTCATAAGGCACTTGAAATAATGGCTACAGTACATTTTCTAAATGATGAAACCACCCCTTAAATTTTATAGTTTCAAAATGGAATAATGTTTTAAAGACATAATAGATTTTTTGTTTAATATTGTATACTAGTGATGAGTTGAACTTATTTTCATATATCCCATGAACATTGAGATCAAGATAAATCACAAGCTGGAGCCCCAAATTTAGCCAATTGGTACCAAATGATGGCAAAAGTATTATTGGTACTGTATTTTCTGAAAGCTACATTCATCTGGATGAATCAACATGATAATCTAATTTAACAGACTGATGAGGTTAGATAATAATGAATTCACTGCATTCATACTATGTAATTGAGTTGTAAGTTTTCAAATTACCTGTTTCTAATGAAGCAATATCCCTTTTTACTTCTAAGATAGTGGCATGGAGACTGGAAATTTGTTGCGTGAGACGAGTGTGCTCATTGATGCGGGTGACGAGGTATGCTGTACCTGCTCCCACTACCATCCCAGCACCCAGGGCTGCAGCCAAAGCAACCTTAAGGAAAATAAAATGCTTTATACCCAGCTTGAAATATTTTCAATCCTCTTGTACAGTATATATATGAATTACCAGTATACATTCACATGACAAATTAAATAAGTACTGCAGAGAACACAAAGTGAAGTTATTTAATAACTTAAATTGCAAAATCGCTAGTTTCTACACTATTGAGATAAAGGTAAATTAATGACTAGATACTTTTCAATCACAGCCGTAGCCAAGAAAAATAATGGTATTATATATTTACATCCCTTGTGAAATTTGTAATAAAATGTACTTTGATCAATCAGGCAAATCTTTGAGTAGAAGAATTTATCAGCATAAATACAATGTTGGAGCAAAATCTGAATCAAGAGCCATATTTGTTCATTAAAAATGCAATAATCATAATATTGACTGGCCTAATTCCAAACAAATATATTTGCCATCTTATTTTAAATTGAAAGGTTAAATGTAGACTCATGCTTAATCAAATATAGTACCTGTATAAATCTAGATGATGGCATGTATCAAATAGACAGATAATATGGTAATTTAAACAAGACCTAGTAAGGAAGCTTAGAAAACTTTATAAAACAAAACAGCCACAAAACACTGTCAATGAGACTTGTGGTTATCTTGAGGTTATCTTGAGATGATTTCGGGGCTTTAGTGTCCCCGCGGCCCGGTCCTCGACCAGTCCTCCACCCCCAGGAAGCAGCCCGTGACAGCTGACTAACTCTCAGGTACCTATTTACTGCTAGGTAACAGGGGCATTCAGGGTGAAAGAAACTTTGCCCATTTGTTTCTGCCTCGTGCAGGAATCGAACCCGCGCCACAGAATTACGAGTCCTGCGCGCTATCCACCAGGCTACGAGGCCCCCTAACCAAATGACCAAATGAAGAAAAATTTTGTAGGATAAACAGGAATTATTTAACTGAATAATCGTGGTATCTGCCAACTTGTGTGGACTAAATGGAAGAGCCATGATAAATGTTAAGTGCATAGCTCTTGAATAATTTGTTAGCATAGAGATGCTGTTTGGTGACAGTTGGGAAAAGTGGTCAGCAGAACAACTAGTAATTTGCAAAGCATTTCTCAGCAGTATTTTTAATGCTAAGTAATGTTTAGAGGGGGTTTTGAGTATAGATGTATGAACCATCAGGAGGTCATCCTGGGATGGACTGAGTGTTCTCTAGTGTCTATCCTCTCTCAGTGTGATCTGGCTGCACCAGGTACAGTATATTTATCAAAATAAATAACAAATAAATATCATAAAATATTTTCCACTGTGAATACCTTATAATGAATGTCAATGGCAAGTACTATATGTAGTTCTCATACATATTCAATTACTGTAATGTTTGTCATGCAATTACCCGCTGTACACATCACTAACTTTCCATTCACCTGAGCTGTATGGATCTCGAACTGTGGCTCCCAAGCATGTGAGGCTGACAATCTATCATCGACTGGGCTATGAGCAGTTTTAAAAAGTGAAAAATTCAAGTATGGCAGCAGGATGCTGCTTCTGGAAACTTTCCTTATTAAGACTGCTCATAGGCCTGTCAATAGAGCGTTAGCCTCACACGCGTGGGGTCCACGGTTCATGACCCATACAGACCAGGTGAATGAAATGTTTATTTCCATGGAAGTGTGGATGACATTTTATAACATTAACTTAATTTTGATTATTAAATCAGAACAGATTAGCCAATATTCCAAGCAAAGTGATTAATCTTAGGTAAAATCACAATCATAGCTTACCTTAGAACTGACATTTAGAGTGAATGATTTTTCTCCACTCATTTCTAGATGCTTAGTTTATCAAATGTCTTCAACTAGCACATGAAACTTTGCCAGTACAGCAGCTCTGTAAAATACTGTTTCTTAATACAAAACCTTTACTGCAGCATGCAGGGTATGTACATTAGTACTGAAATAAAAGTCTTCTATTTTTAAATATCAACAGCTGTTACCACAATGTGAATCGTTGCATAATATTAAGTGGCCTAACCGTAAATATTTTTATAAAAACCTTTTCCTACTGTGAAATACTGTTGAACATTTATGAATAAGCTTTAGATATCTGTGTAATTTGTATTGTGACTTCCGTAAGTCAATTGCCAAAATTTTTGTTCTTACTCAAAATTAAAATTTTCTTTGTGTAGTCAGTCAGGTACTAATATTTATATAATTCATTGTGTTGGAGGACAGGCAGTCAATTTATAAATACAGTATATGTTAGACTTTTATCGAGGTCATTTCCCCCAGGATCCAATTACTGACCCTCCCCAGGATGTAGCCCCCACAACAGGCTGATAAACTCCTGGGTACCTATTCATTGCTAGGACAGAAGCATGAGGTAAATGGAAACACGCCCAACTATTTATGTGCTGCCCGGGATTCGAACCCGGAATTCTCTATTTTTGAATCGAGAACAAACAAGACTATATTACCGGGACCCTAAATTACTATGCAATTATTCACTTTGTTTTAGTCTCAGATGCACATAAAAATGGATAGCCTAATTATATTGATGATCTTTGATCCAGTTAAATATTTAAATGCTTTATTATTATTTATATTATCTGAAAATGAAGAAACTACAACATTTTGATCCATTCTGGACCATTATCCTGGGTTCCTACAGTACATCCACTCAATACTAAGATTATTGTGTATCACAATTTGCAGTGTTCACAATTTCACCATTTGGATACAGGTTCACGGTGCACTATGCTACTATATTTGTATACAGTATAACAATGTAATGCCTTAAAATAACTTCATAGGCTGCCAAGGCCTACCTAACTAAATAAACCTCACTGAATGTTGCCTAACATGATAGTATTCATTACCACATAAATTAAAAGGCTGATTATACAGATACTGAGGAAGACATCAAGGGCAAAAACATCTACCCACTAATATTTATATTGTTGTGTTGTCAGGGACAGGAAGCCAATGTATGTATATAGTGCATGCTTGTAACAAGGTCACCCCTAAAGTCGAACTACTGACCTCCAGGATGCAACCCCACAACAGTTGCTTAATTCCCGGGTACCTGTTTATGACTACATGAACAGAATCATTTGGCAAAGGAAAATGTGAAATTTGTATTTCAGTTGTGAAGAGAATGATTACAGTGGCATGTTGTTGTTGTTAAAGATTTAGCTACTCAGGACGAAGTGTCCATGTAGCACGGGCTATGGTGAGCTCGTAAAACAGTGGCAAGTCACTAACAGTTAAATCTAACTGAACCTAACTAAATTTCACCCACTGAAAAGCGCAGGAGCCACAAAATATAGTAATGTTTATCTGGCATAAACTAGGGTATAGCACAGAAAACCTACAATATTTTTTAACATTTATCTCGACATTATTATAAACTCCAAAAATTTAAAAGGTTGTTGATGGTGAAAGTACCATTTAGCGGCAGGATCACAAGATAGGTTTTCACACGTGGATACAAACTACCAAAAGAAAGTAACTTCCATCTAAACGATTATGATTTCAGGAATAAACATAATCAAGAGTGCCTACTACTACCGAGATATAAACTTATAAAACCTTCTTCAGTTTGACTAATGTGGGACGCTTCTCTCACCGATCAACACTTAAAAGAGAAAGCGAGTTCTTAAGGCTCACTTTCTTCTGTCCATCCGCCGACTTCTTCATATCACAATAATAACAGCAGACTATTTATTCCCCGTCAAGTGTCCATCACCAGCTGAAGCTATGACTATGAGCTAGCACACACACACGTGGTTCATGTGAGAGAGTTAAGAGTACAAGCAGGCGAGAGTGCCTCATCTCGCACTCAGCTGAGCATCAGCTGATGGGGTAAACACGACGCTCCTTCACATCCTCCACCGTACTCATCTCTCGCTCCTCCAATACCAACAACACCCTACTTCATCACTTTATAATAATAATAACATACTATACTATACACACAGAAATCACAATAGCGTGATATATATCAAATGAATAAATCCACAAGGGAGATTAAGGCACGTCTGGGATCATCCTGGACGTAAGTTCGAACCCTCATTACAGCTCTTCTCGATTTATTCATACAATACTATATATATTACTGTTAAACATAAGGTCACTGGGTATACTGTAGTAGACTGCTGTGCGTCACCAGTCTCAACGATTTCTTCTTCCGTAATCAATCTAAACATCCACTTTGTGATAGCATTTAGACTTAGTTTATTTTAATAAAGACAAATATACTTTCGAATTTTGCGGATGCCCTGATTAGGATAACATACTCACCTAGTTGTACTCAGCTAGTAATTATATATAGACGTCAGTTATATCAAGAGCTATATTATCGTAGTTAAATTAAAAGACCTATCTCGCAAATCTAAGTACAGTATAGCATATTGAAATATAGTTACTACTAGTTTTCTTTCTACTGGTAATAAATTGGTGTATGTTTGCATGTATACCAGACAAAGTCCATTTAATGGCAGAATTTAGTCATTTTGTGTAAAATCTTTTATATATCATACTATTAATGATAACAGTAATCGAAAAAAGTCATAGTTTGTATATACAAGAGATGAAACAGCGAGCCATGAGCTAGAGCGATGTGCTGAGTCCATAAGGAGGCTGAGCTTCCGGAAATACCTTCCTGTGATTGGCTGTTGCGAGGAATACCAACACTCTTTTATGAATAAAATTTAAACTAAGAAATAGATCCTTGTGCACAACAACAAGGTTGTTATGTAAAAGAACAACAATTTCTGTTTTGCACCTGACAGAAATCTCCATCTAACTGAATAATTTACTCGAATAAGAGGGCAGAGCAGCGTATCATTATTTGTGTCAAGGCAACCCCCAATAATAACGTCTCAAGTTAGGTAGCCAGCCCATGTTTCTGTAACACCCGTTACATCCTGCAGTATTTAATTATCACTATATTAATACTTTTAAATACTTAGCATTTCACTTTTTAGGTAGATTAAAGTTGAAGCAGAATGTCATAAGCATCGATGGTGTGCTGAATAAAGATGATTTATTAAATGGATGGAGCCTTTAGCTGATCCCTTTTCTGTGATTGGCTGTTGTGTGAATGTCAACAAAGAATATCTACCAATGATATGCCATTTATTATGCACCCCATACCCACTGTGGGCGGAGCTTGGAACTTTCTACCCGAGCACAACAACCCGCCTTATGGGTTGCTGTTTGGCTATTTATAGTGCGTTGGAAAAAAACGAGATGGCGTTAGTAGCATTTTGCAGGGTAATTTGTTATAAGTGTAATTTGATGTCAACAGATGGCGTAAGCTGTATCTTATGGCCAGTGTTGACCAGCCAGTTGATAGTGTTCTCTTCTGCCGACAGATGGCACAGCTGTGTAGTTATTACTTCCGAATTCCCTTTTAAACACTGATCTACAAATCCCTTGGCTTATGATAAATAAGGTTTTATACCATTTATGATAAGTATTAGATAACTGGAGTTCCGCAATTACTTTTATTTATCAAGTGTTCAGGATATAATCATATCACGTCTGGTTAGGACGTACTGCTCTCGATTGATGAAGATTAAGCCACCCAAGAGGTGGCACGGACATGAATAGCCCATAAATACTGCTCTCGTAATATTATTCAGGGGGGTGGGGGAACTATCAAGTGAAAGCGCTAAGCCATTACGACTATATAGCACTCGGAAGGGATCAGGATACGGATTTGGGATGGAACGGGGGAAAGGAATGGCGTCCAACCTCTTGGGCGGTCGGGGATTGAACGCGGACCTGTAGGAAACGAGACCGTCGCTCTACCGTCCAGCCCAAGTGGTTAAGCGTAATATTATTAAAACGACAATTTATGCAAATAATAATGGCATTTAATACTAAATATACTTGGATATATTGAAATTTGGTAGTGAATTCCAATCTAGGAATCTCCTATGACTAAACTGTATTTTTTAATCATTTTTATGTACTTACTACTTATTATTAAATTATTAAGTATTTACTATAATAATTAAATGAATTATTTTATTTAATATTAAAGTTAAATGATAAAATAATAGGTAATAATAAATCATTGTGTAGGGGGGACAGGCAACCAGTGTGTATATATACATATATTAGGCTTACACCAAGGTCCCACAAAGGTGCCACAAAGGTGCCAAATTAAAGACTGGGAGCTGCCGGGGCGGGTCCAAGGGCTGCTGGCGGCCCTGGCCAGGCTGAACTTCCGCGCCCTTATAATCACCATTGTTTAATAATCTTCACAGGGAGAAACAACTGTAAATATAGGAATAGTTTATTACAACATACACGGTAAAGAAAACAGCTCGGAAACTAAGGAAATAAAGCTGCCGAAAAAAACATTAAAGTCCACTTCAAGTTCAAGTATGTTTATTGAAACAATAAAAAAATACATCTCAAAGGGATAGAGTAAGTAGCTTAGGCTATTTCTACCCCCTTCTACTTCAAGTCCCTCAAGGGGCGCACAAATTCAGTGAGTACATATACACAAATCACAATACAAGAATCCCATTTAACATAGCAGGTTAAAATAGGAAGCACAGCATATAAGTGTTACAAGTGAGTTACAAGTTACAAGGGAACAAGTGAGAAGGCGGTGGAGGCCTCAAAACCGGAATTGCACACTGATTTTAATGCAGATATGTCGTGATTATCATAATATAAAGATGTTAAGGCACGAAAACCTTTTTATTCGTTAAAGTTTATAAGGCAATTAAAAGAATCTAACTCACAGCCCCTCTATTCAAGTCCCAAATTGTCAAAATTTGAAAATTAAAAAAAAAATTGGGCTACTCTTATTACAAATTCGCTACTTTTAGACCGTCAGCTCGCTACTTTTAGCAATTTAGATCTGGCAACCGTGCTTGCAAGCCAGAATCATGGATGTGGCTTTATTTAAATTTATACGACTGTGTTTTTCAGAATAAATGAATTGTTATGTTCATCTTTCTTAACGAACCCAAAGTCAACCAGCCTGTCTGTCTGTCTCTCTTTCTCTTTACTGTCTCTCTATCTACTTATCTCTAACTATTATTTCGTCTTCCACACCCCCCCCCCCAAGAGACACATAAACAAATGTATGTGTCTCAGATGTGCTGCTTTTTCTTTCCTTTCTCTTCTTTTTTTCCATTATCTTTTCTTTAATAATTAACTTCACGTTAATCACACGCAATAATTCACACTTGATCATATAAAAAGGCAGAGCATGATGAGTGGGAGTACTCACCTAGTTGTGCTTGTGTGAGGGGTTGAGCTTTGGTCCAGCCTTTCAACTGTCAATTAACTTGTGTAACAGGTTCCTGAGCTTATTGGCCTCTATCAAAGGAGGGGGGGGGGGGTAGAAATAGCCTAAGGTACTCTATCCCTCTGAGATGTATTTTTTTCTTGTCTCAATAAACATACTTGAAGGTAAAGGGAAGGGTCATCCCTTCACCTTCTAGTGTGTGGTCTGGTCAACATACTTTAGCCACGTTATTTGTGACTCATCGCCTGCAACATACTTGAATTTGGCCTCTATCATATCTACACTTGAAACAGCCAGATATCTGGCAGATATCTGCCAGATATGGAGTCTGCTTCCACCACATCACTCCCTAATGCATTCCATTTGTTTTATCCATCGGCTGCGGACCGACCCGACCAAGGCCCTTTCGAGAGTCTGAGAGAGGGCCTTGACCGACTTCGCAAACTATATTATGTTTTACGCTGGCGATGGTAATTGCCGGTTGAGTGCTAGACAGTTTAGAAACTGGGAAAGTTATCAGCGTATGTATGGTCTATGGTCTATGTCAACGAAGGTCTCTAGCAGCCTACTTGCTGCATTTGACGAAATCTAACCAATTTCACTTCGTGGTCTTCTAAGCTGTGGTCCACCCCAAATTTCTATGATACTCAGCTATCACAATACTATATAATAAAGGTTGTCTAGTGGCATTATTATCCCAAACCTATTTAGTGCAATAATACAAATTTTCAAAGTTCACCCAAAAAATTATGCAACAAAATGATGTTTATAAATATATATAAAATCAATAAATGATCTTAGGGGAAATATATAACTTGAGTTTTTAGAGGCACAGACTCTACATATAATGTGCAAGTTCCATGTAAATTGAATAATAAATAAAAAAGTTATTCAACCATATAGTTGCAAATTAGTTACCTGTAAAAAATGAAGGTCAAAGTTCAGCCACCTTTGGCTGAGGTTGATGAACTACCAATTTCAATCAAAATTACCACCCTTGTAGATTGGCATTCCTTCAGTAAGGTGTGTAAGTTCCATGAAGATTGCCTGATAAAAAAAAAAAAAAAAAAATTATTAAAAAAAAAAAAATTAAAAAAAAAAAATAAAAAAAATTAAAAAAAAGACAGCAGCTTTATATTTACAATTATTTATGATATAGTATCAAGATATAAAACATAATACATACTAACCTAATATAATTGGTCTGAAATATGCAACATCTTGCAACATCAAGAGGGAGAACGTCTTGAGTTGCAGGTCTAAGATCTTGAGTGGCAGGTGCCGCAGGTGGTGTGGCAGGTGCCGCAGGTGGTGTGGCATGTGCAGCAGGAGGTGTGGCAGGTGCCACAGAGGTGTGGCAGGTGCCACAGGAGGTGTGGGTGCCTGGGTGTGAGGCGAGGTAGTGTGTTGTGGGGGCGGGAGGCTGCCCTCTCTCTTCACTCAAGGGAACTCTTGTTTTGCCTCAGTGTGGCTTTACGCTCCTTCTTTACTTGGCTAACGCGTAGAGCTCTTGCCTTTAGAGCTTTCTTCTTGTCCGATACTATATCCATTGTGCAGTATATGCAAGAAAATACGATCTGTGCGAGCGCGTCAGGCATGCGACCG